GAATTAGAGGGATAGGAGGTGGTGTGGTTGTGTGAGGTGTCGAATTGAGATAGATGATATGATGTTTCAGAGTAGAAGAGAGGGATGAGGGGAACGGAAGCAATAGTCTGGATGGAAGGTATGAGTGGAGGAGATCAGCCGAGGGATAACTCGGCGGAATCACATTGTTGCAGCTTTTCCCGCAAGGTACAATACCGTCAATTTACTCAGGTTGGTATGGTTCCTGGTAAAGAACGTCTGTCTCGGACGGTACTGAACCGGTTACTACTGGGATACCGGAAGGACCTTGCCGGATTGGGGCATGACTGTTTTGATATCATGTGCCCAGCCTTGAATTCGGCAAAAGCAAAGCGGAGTAAATCCTATTCATTTTCATTCAGGATCGCTCGCTTCTTTTCTATACAGTAAAACCACCATCTATTTATTCGACTTCATATTTGGCTAAACATATCTCCGTCGCCACGCCCAATTATTTGCTAGTAGTTGTCTGATGATAACTATTAATATCATCCCATCAACACCATTCCCCTGACACACCGGACAGAATTGACTAGACTGCTTGCTTCCCTTCTGCCGAACTGACTGGCTGGATAAACATTTGGAAACCACCTGAAGCCCGAGCTACGTATGCCATGGACGCCCGTCGCGACTAACGCTCGACTAGTTTTTAGGCTCCAGTTCTGCAGCCACTCATCTGTTGCGCCGGTCACTTTAGCTCACGGCGCTACCGGGGATGAATCGATAACAAAGAGGAGAAATCAGTCCTGCGAGGACCCCAAGAGGGGACTCACTCACACCGAATATCCCGGATCAACCAGCCGCCAGCATTCTCTCATGCCATTCCATTCAGGAAAAAAAAGAGGGGAAAAAAAAACTGAGAAACAGTAGAAGTAAAAAAAAAAAAAAAATTGGAGAATTGTTGCACATTCCAGGCAGCGACAAATGGGGTAGAAAAATTCTTCAATTCTCCAATTTTCTTTACATTTGCCTTTTTCTTTTCTACTGGTGTCTCTCTTGTCTCTGTGGTGAGGACTGAGTATGTCTTGGAGAGGAGTTGTCTCTCTTGCAGGTGGACCAATGGAAACCAGACAGGGCATCTGCAAGTCTGCGACTTCCTCCTCGAGGGTTAATTAGTATCCCTCGCGTAGGGCAACAAACAAATCGCCGGCCAAATCATGAGTCCGTTGCTGCACCAAAACAAGGAACGGGAAATTGGAGCCAGAAATGAGGGGGAAAGTCTGAGAAACAGTCAGAGATGATTATCGACTCTTTTTCAATTTGCTTTCGAGAATTGAAACACACGACGTATGGATATTATCTATTAGTCTGAGTATTATTATACTATTGTTTCTTATTATTATAATTATTATGATCAGGACTCCTGCACCGTCTCTCCTCCTGCAGACCCAGTCAGTACTTAGTCGTACTTAGTCCAGCTAGCAGCAGTATCTATCTAGTTCCTTTAGCTATACTACTTTGCTAGTTTAAACGCATCCAATCACTCTCCTCCACTGGTTCTCATTCACGTCCCGGCAGCAAGAATCTTCTGCTCGAATAAAATAAAAGACACTAAAATAAATAAACAGCCGGAATTCCTGTCTTGTTTTTGCTGCCCCTTCCCGTTTTGTTCTCTTATCGCCGGCTTTCTTCTTTCTTCCCTCCGTCGCTTCCTCTTCTTCGCTTCTCTTCTCTTCTCCTCTTCCATTCTTCTGCTGCCTCTTCTTCTTCTTTCTCCTCCTGGTCTCCCTTCCTCCCTTCTCATCTTCCATTCCATCCATCCATTGATTGTCTGCCTCTTTTATCTCATTGCCAGACTATCCAATCCCAGATAAATATCTCATACCTCACCCAACAATCTATCTTACTTTCTGCATTTCCAGCTCAGCTCTACCGGCAGTAGCTCTTTCGCCATGCTTCCTCTCGTCTTGATGTCTCTGGCTGTCGCGGCCACCGCGTCCAGCAACTACACTCTTCCCAGCGACTTCAACATCAGCGCCATCAGCTTGTCGGAGCGAAGTAAGACACTTCTGGTGAATGAATGACCATCACTCATTTACTGACTACTGCCATCTAGACTCCTGGTGCACTGCTGAGCGCAACTCTTGCCCTGAAATCTGCGGAGGTGTTGCTACGAGCAACTCGTGTGATCCGGTAGGTGGCACCAGCACTCTCGGCGCTTTTGTACCCTTGCACCCGCTAACCGGTTTGGCAGAGCACCCTGGACTTTTCTTGCGTCTGCTCCAATGGCTCCACTGCCGATGTCGCGGAGTACACTCAGACCATCCCCTTCTTTGTCTGCGAGGCCACCTACGCTCAGTGTATTGAGGACTCGCCCTCTCTCGATGAGCAGGAACAGTGCCAGGAGACGCGCGACAAGGACTGTGGCACGTTGAATGCGTCGGCCTCAAGCACTACCTCTTCGACCACCACGACGGCCGCCTCTCTGACCACGTCCACCGGCTCGTCCAGCAGCACTGGTTCGGGTAGCAGTGGATCGAGCGCCTCTACCACCTCCAGCAGCAGCTCGTCTTCGACCACTGCCAACGCGGCGATGCGTCTGGCTCAGGAGCACGCTACGGGCCTGTTGGCGACCGTGCTGTTCGTTGGTTTGCGCCTGATTCTGTAAATGATCAGTCTTGGGCGAGAGGAAAATGGGGAGTACTGTTATTGCTGGATGTAATAATCACATTGGGGTCGCAATTGGCCGTGTTGTAATGAGAAGGGGGAAGATGTTGTAATGATGGCCGGGGAACAGAAGGAGGGTTCCAGTTGCAGTTGCATGTTCTACGACTTGATGGTTCTTTTTATTTTATTCTCGTACGATTCCCCCAAGCGCGCCTGGGAGTTATTCTTGTAATAATTGCAGATTGAGTACTGAGTTGATTAGTATGAAATGAAACCAGAAAAAAAAAAAGTTGTGATTGTTATTTCAAAACCTTTGGAGTAATTGAACAATAATAGTACTCCGTAGTAAATGTCGAGACGATCTCCCGATGCAGCGGCGCCAAGAGTTTTTCCCACACTGAATTTTCTCCACCGCCCAAATCCCTTCCACAGAGTCAGTCTCGCAACACCAAGTCGATTCGATCAATCCCCAAAGCCTCTTCTCGCTTCTTTCCCTCTTTCCCTTCCCTCTTCCTTTGATTTCTTTCCCTCCCTTTTCCCCCCTCACCCTTTTCTCACCACCTCCCATCCCATCATGCCCGCCCCCTCCACCACCCTCCTCATCGAGGGTTCCTTCACCGAGCTCGCCGACGAGTTCGCCCAGTACATCGACGCCCTGCGCAAGTCCGAGGCCTCTAGCAGCCTCCAGTCCGAGATTTCCCCGCTTCTGCAGCCCCTTCGTGAGCAGGAACAGTCCGAAGCAGAGCCCGACCGCAAGCAGCGCGATGAGGTTCTCAAGAAGTTGGTCTCCGCGGCCGTTGTCCTGAACAGCGCCCCCGAGAAGGGTACGTATTATCGATAGAACACCCCTCTATACACGAGACGTGGATCCAGAGACTGACGGACGGACAAATAATTTATATTATACAGAAATCATCTCCGCCTACAACCTTCTTGTCCACCTTGTTCACCAGGCCTCCGACCCGGATATGTTCCTGTCCCGCATCTGTACCTACCTCGCCAAACCCATCTCTTCCTCCCCTCAGTTCGGCCCCTCCTTGGCCATCTCCATCCTGTCCACCATCTTCAACACTCTTGCTCCCTCCGACTCCAGCCGCTACCACGTTCTCCTGGCTACCGTCGCCGTCATCCGTCAGTCCAGCTCGTCCATTGCCTTTGACGCCCTCAAGTCCCAGCTGGTCGCTCAGCTGCCCAGCTGGCTCGCCGCCTGGGAGCTGGACGCCGACGAGGCCCAGCGCCTGCACCTCGCCATTGCCGATGCCGCCCAGGCCTCTGGTGACCCCGAGTTGGCTCAGACCCATGTCGTCCAGGCCCTGCAGACCATCCCTGCCGCCAACGCCAGCGCCCCCGAGGCCCGCGATCTCGCTGTCCGCGCCCTGACCTCCGCTCTCACCCACCCGGCTGTCTTCGACTTCACCCCCCTGACTGCCTCCGACGCCGTCCAGGCTCTCCGGTCCAGCGACAGCACCCTCTTTGAGCTGCTCGAGATCTTCACCGCCGACACCCTCGACGCCTACGAGGCCTTTATCTCCGCTACTCCCCTGGCCAGCATCTCCGGCGGCGTTCTGGCTGAGTCCGGCGAGGCCCTGCAGAACAAGATGCGCCTGCTCACTCTGGCCTCCCTGGCTGCTTCCACCCCGTCCCGCTCCCTCCCCTACGCCACGATCGCTACGGCTCTCCGCGTGGAGCCCACCGACGTTGAGAAGTGGGTTATTGACACCATCCGTGCTGGCCTCGTCGAGGGCAAGCTGTCTCAGCTGCGCTCCGAGTTCCTGGTCCACCGGGCCACCTACCGTGTCTTTGGCGAGAAGCAGTGGGCCGAGGTGCAGGGTCGCCTGATGGTCTGGCGCCGCAGCCTGGAGAACGTGCTGGGTGTTGTTCGCAGCGAGCGGGAGCGGTTTGTTCGCGAGGGGCTGCAGGCGGCCCAGGCTGCCGAGGAGGCTGCCCAGGGCAAGGGTAACGACAAGAAGGGTGGTGACCGTCGCCGTCACAACAACAACAACAACCAGCAGCAACAGCAACAGCAGCAGCAGCAGCAAGCACCTGCGGCACCCGCCGCTGCCCCGGAGGCCGTTGCCGTGGAGTAAAGGACTGATGACCGTCTGGTTGAATGATTGATTGATACACAGAGAAGCATACACATTGGGATGAATGAATAAAAAGTTTTCTGTGTGTTGTTGTGAGTTGTGGGCTTGGAAGGTGTTCTTTCTATGTTAATGTTCTGCTGTGTCTACACTTTTTTTTATCCCCATTTTCCCTTTATTTCCATCTCACGGGCTCAATTTTCCTTTTATTTCTCTTTTTTATTTTATCATGGTAGCTATTGGATTCTAGACAGGTTTATATCCACATTTCATCATGAGAAGGTGGGGGGAAAGCCTGACTGACAATGATACGAGTTATGCCGAGTGTGTAACTGAGTTTTTATGTATATTCCCAAGTACCTAGTACTACTTTATACATACATAGAACAATTTGGGGTGTTGCAGCAAGGGTAAATTACTCAAGATATAAGCATATATATAGTTGCTACTAGGATCAGGATGTAGTTAAATGTACTACTCATCACTGTGGCTCTCACGTATCTACCTGCCATCTATCCATCTATGTACCACCTAACCATACACACATGATATAATATTTTAAGAACCCAAAAAACCAACCTTACAAAGGATTAATGCCCTTACTCTTAAATCCCTCGCGAATGCGCTCATACACCTCATCAACCGATCCCGTCGCCGTCACCGAAACCACCTTATTTTGCTCCTCGAACGCCTTGACAACAGGCATACTAGTCTCGACGAACGTACGGAACCTCTTCCGGATACTCTCCGCATTATCATCATCTCTACCGGAGGTCTCTCCACGCTTCAACAACCTCGTCTCCATGACCTCCTCAGGACAATCCAAGAACAGGGTCATCTCCGACGGACACACGGTATCCTCGAAGAACACGGCCTGGTCGAGCTTGCGGGGGAATCCATCAATGAGGAAGCGGGGCTTGGGGCCACCCTCTTGCTGTTGTTTCTTGCCGGAGGCCAGGGCGTCGGCCATGGCGTTGGACAGCAATGCGACGGTGATTTCCATGGGCACGATCTTGCCCTCGCGGATGTAGGTCTTGATGAGGTCGCCGTATTGGCTGCCTTCGCGGACTTGTTCGGCGCGCAGGAGGTCGCCGGCGCTCAGGTGGGTGAAACCGTAGTCGCGGACCAGGTTGCTGGATTGTGTGCCTTTGCCGCTGCCGGGGCCGCCGAGGATGAAGACCACGGTGATGTCGGTGGGGGAGAAGCGGGGTTGGGTGGTCATTTTGGTGGTGGTGGTGGTGATGGTTGGTTTTGTGGGATCGAATTCTGGGGAGGAAGGGAGGTAAGGTGGTTAGCTTAGGTGCTTGTTTGTTTGTTGGTTGGTAGGTAGGTAGACAGGGGAAGTTGTTATTGTTGGAGGGGAGAAGAGGGGTGGTGGTGTGGATTCAAGGTACAGAGAAGAGGGACATACAGTTGGAACCGGGCTTGGGTTTATGCACGCCGGTGCGGGATTTCACGAGTAAGACGTAGGAACCGGTGCCCACAGCGAAGAGGGCAACAAAGGGGAGGACTTTGAAGTTGGAGCGGCTGTATTGGGTAGGGTTGTTGGAGGATTGAGGAGAGGAGGAAGAGGAAGAAGAGAGGGAAGAAGAGGACGAATAGGGGCGATGGAGAGACAGTCGGAGATGTCGGTGGGGGGCCACCACGGGCGGCAGTGTAGCTCCTCGCTGTAGTAGTAACTTGATAGACATTGGAAGAGATGGGGATGGGATGGGATGGGATGAGGAGAAAATATTAGGGGGAACTGAAGGGGAATTGATGACAATACAGATTGAGCTACTATACTGCAAGACTTGCAAAGAAGTAAACGCAGAAGAGGACAAAGCCAGATGAAGGAGAGGAAAAAGAAAAGCAGGAAAAGGAAAGTTGAAGTTCATCTCGCATTCGCTACTTTGGGACTAGCGCGGATGGCCTGATCTATACAATCTGAGAGTTGTTGTGTTACTTACTTCCACTTGTATAGCTTCATCTTCTTCCTCTCTCTACAGTCACTTGAATAATTTGATTCATTGGATTGTGGCATCTAATAAAGGTCATGGACAGGTAGGATACTATACGTTCACCTCTTGACAACTCTTCTTGCCAACATTCATCACTTCAATACACCCATCTACAGCATCTCACCAAGTGAACGATCTCTCGCTGCCACTCGTCCTTGATTTAGTGAACAATTGCTCGCTGCCACCACCTGTATCGCATCATTCTTGCACGTCTTCCAACCATATCCCTTTGTCTTCTGGCTGTCTCATTCACCCCAATCGTCTCGGCATCTCATAGCTTCTTCCCCCCTGCTCGTGCAGTCTCCGCCAGCAAGATGCTTCATCCTCACCCCCCAGCTCCAAGAAACAACCGTACACATGCAAGAGCACCTAGAGCACCTAGAGGTCACATTCAATCAGCTCTGCATGCACAGCCTCTTGTACATTCTCAGCCTTTCTCCCGAGGTCAACGGCACCATCCTGTGAACGTGAGTGATTCTCCCAGCATGCAATGCACACACTAACACACCCAGTCCCGCGGAGGACAATCACATATCTACCAAAGTCAGAGAGGTCGTCCTAGAGGACAGATGTATACAGCCAACTTTCAGCCATCATGGGGAGCACCAAACAGTAACGGAGCTCCCGGCCGTAGTCGTTCCAACTACAGAGGTCGCAGATCCAGGAAGAAGTTTGCAGCCAATACGAGAACTCAAAACACTAGACACCTTACTACAATGTCTACAGCTCCATTTTTCAATCTCAAACGCCCATCTTCCAATTCGACTGAAGGGAAAGCAGTAGCGCAGATACCTTCACCGTTTCAACGGCTCCCACCGGAAATTCGAGACCAAATCTATGAACATATATTTGAGCCTCACCGTGTCGAGCTCATACGAAGAAGCGAGAAAGATCCGACTAAACACCCAAAGAGAGTGTACTACCGCCTATATCATAACCAGCTTCGATCGCGCAATCCCATCACGCAGCAAATTCAGGACCCCAGTCGGAAAACTCAACTCCCTGTGCCCATAGCACTGGTTTTTACATGTCGCAGTATTTATTGCGACACCCTTTGGTGGCTGTACTCCACTACCCAATTTGTCTTCACTTCGACGAAGACTATGAACCGCTTCTTCAACACCATCCCCTCGGAAGTACAGCCTGCAATTCGACATGTCGAGATCAACCAGGAAATGCACAGTGAACCAAGTTTGACCGAGCATCGTATCCACAAGGTCCGAAGTGACTGGGCTTTCACAATGGCATGTGAGAACTTGGTGAGGTGCTGTTCAGGACTGCAAGTCTTGTACATTTACTTCCGCATCCGTGACTGGCCTATGAGCCTCGAGATCGGCGAAACATGGTCATTGCCAATGATGGCCTTTGCGGAATACAAAGGTAAAGGTGGCTTAGACGTCGTCACCATCAATCTCGATATGCCGAGGTTTGGGGTCCAGAAGTTGAAGAATATGGCCAAAATATTGGAAAAACGATTCATGAAGCCCAAGGCGTTCCAGATCAGGGAGGATGAGCGATTGGCTAGAGAGTTGAGTTGCTCTTTCATGGAATTGCGGGTAGAGGGAAATGACTGATATTTCTCTTTCGTCAATGTCCTCGTCAGTTTGATAGAGAAGATGAAGCTTAATCTGGTGTGTTCGAAGGGTGGGAGTGGATTGATCGGAGTGATATTCTTTCCTTCTTTTTCTTTCTTTCCTTCTTTACTTCCTCCTTCTTTTTCGAGTTACTAATTTATGGTTTCATGAGATAACCGCAACATGTTTCTATGATACGTCTCTTTTCTAAATACCGTAAACAGAAAAAAAAAAACTGGAAATCACCACTCCATTGAGTTGAATCAAAGTGCACTGGCTGTCTATTTATGCAAGTCCGATTAAATGTAGTCAATATGTACGTCAGTCGTCAAGGGGGGAATATACGGTACAAAAATGGTGGGTGTCTAGACATGCATGAACGCCCGCGATATGCAAAAGATAATGACCCGTCTTTCCTTCCTTTCTTTTTCCTTCCTTAATGTCCTTCAAACAAGCGAGCAAACCCCCCAAGTCTTGCTCGCGCCCATATCATCTTCTATTCACAGCGTGCTTCCCTCTTATTTTTCTTTTTCGGGTTTACTCCCTCGACCTGTCAACTTCCGTCAAGGACTGGCCCTCTTCGGACGGAACCTCGTGGTATGCCTGCATACGACGACGACGAAGGAACCAATAACCGCCCGCCAGGACCCCGCCCACGGAGCAGATGACCAGAACAGAGATCAGCAAGCCACCGACTCCGTGGATAACCTCGTACGCCTTATCCACGGCCATGGCTGCTTGCTTGGCTGCTTCCTTAGCCTCCGCATTGGGGTCCACCTCTTCCACATCTTCTTCCACCTCGGCCTGCTTGGGGCCGTAAAGAATGGTCGGGTCATCGGCGGTAGGCTTCGTGTCACCCTGGAAGCCGGCCAGGCGCCAGTTCTGTGGGGTCTCGGTGCGGTGGATGGGAGAGGAGCCGATGACGTTGCCGTCCTTGTCGACGGCTTCGACGGAGATCCAGTCGAGGTAGCCGTCTGCGATGTACATGGTCTCGAAGTCGAACTTGGTTGTGTTGCCAATCAGGACGGGAATGCCGTGGCGGTCGGCTCGCGCGTAGAAGTTCCAGGTGGCGATGTCGGTGGCACCGTTCCAGCTGACATGGAAGATCGTCGCCAGGTCGGTCTCATCGGTACCGTAGACGGAGGCGATCACATCCGGAGGAGTGTTGGGGCGGCCGACGAAGGGGAACTTGTACGACCGGTAGGTCGAGAAGCGGGTGGATGCGAAACGGCCTTGCATGAGGACCTTGCCGTCGGGCGAATGCTCGCTCTGCATGCCTTGTTCACTCCAGCCCACGAAGACGTTTCCGTTCGGCAGGGTCTGAACACTACCACGGAGACGGGTCAGGCCGTTGTCTGGGCGGTTGTAGCGCTTGAGCAGACGCGCGGTCATGGGGGTCGTCGTGGTGTCGATCTGCACGAACATCGCTGCGGATGTGTCTTCCTCGTTTTCGGCCTCATCAGAGGCATTGTTCAGGAAGGAGACAATGGCATGGGTGGCATTGGACTCGACAAAACGTGCGTGGTGTTGCTTGGAGAAGGTGAAGTCCTGAACGAAGTCGGAGTACTTCCCACCAAGGCGCCATTTGATCTGTCCATCCTCGCCGGAGATCAGGTAGAGGGTGCTCGTGAATCGCGCAGACAAGAGGTAGTCTCCTGTCGTACTCTTATCAATGGAGTTCACGTGGACATAATCCCAGCCGGGTTGGGAAGCGGGCGGCGAGCGAGAATCGACTTTCACGGACTCGTGAATGGGGATGTAGCCGAGAGAAGACCATTCGTAGAGGACTTCGCCGGTAGCGGTGTCCAGCTCGACGAAGCCACCGGCGACAACCCAGCCGTATTCGTTGGGACGACCGAGGTCTCCCAGGTCGACATATTCGTTGCGATATGCGCAAGCCAAAGCAGTCTTTCCACCAGGAAGGACATTGAACTCGTGCATGTTAAATGCTGAGAGATCGTTGGTCACCGGCACAGCAGTTTCGACCTCATAGTTTTGGTCGAGTACGTATCCGTATCCTTTGTCTCTACCACCATCCTGATAGCCATGCTGAAGGATGAAGGACAGGTGAGGTTTGTCGTCGATATTGTTGACGGCTTTGAAATCGAAAATGTTGCGGTTGTCGAACATGCAAGATCCGGCCCAAACCAGAGTCTACGTATGGCCGGTTAGTAAGCTACTTACTCCTTTCGGGGATCTCACTCATTTTTGAGAGACATCCCTTTCCTCACGAAAGGGGGGAAATGAATTTCTGGGATAAGGAATGAGGAAACGTACGCCATCTGCATCATAGATGTAGGGTCCAACTTGGCAAGGCTTCCATTGCTTCGTGGGAGCTTCTGGGTCAATCACGCCATATGGCGCAACGAACCAGTAGCCTGGGCTAACCGATTCGCGATCGTAGTATGCAACATTAAACTTCAATGCTCTCACTTCCGGAAGCTGGCTGCTCGTCAGCAAGAAGATCATTTATATATAAGTACGTTGGAAATTCTCCTACCGTCACAAAGGACATCAAATCATCGTCCGCCTCCGCCTCCGCGACAATCCCGCGAAAAGAAAGAAACAACAGAACCCAGAAGAACAACATTTTTTGAAGGAGTGGCTAGGAGAGGAAGAGTTCCTCCCCCAAGAAAAAAAAAATTGTGACGATTAGCTAGGGAAAAGGGCAACGATTAGCGGAAAGGAAGGAAGGAGGACAGCGGGAGACGACCGGGTCATTAAGACAGACGGTCGCTGTCTGTCAAGCAGCCAAGTGGACGTCGGTCGATGGTATCTATCCGAAAGATCTTCTCCCTGGCGCGCAGGGAACAGTAGTCAAGTATGGAGGTGCCCCCTGCAAGCACACCCCATCCACGACACCGTCGAAACGGAATCCCATGAGCCAGCACAGATTGGGAGAGGCTAAGACTCCGCAAAGCATTACGGAATCTCCATAATTTGGGTCGGGCACGGCCAGTGACAACGTAAGTGCTGATACGGCCGCTGACGATCAGACGAGGCGGACACTCTTGGCAGCGTTTCGGACAGTGGAGCTGCGGGCCACGCTGCGAACTTCATCAGCGCAGGAGACGCTCTGATTGCTGGATAAGGTGCAGCCGGAAGTCGCCCAGATTCGTGGACGGGTCATCCCATGATCCCACTGGGTGGCCACGCCAAATGAAGCGACTTGACCCGGCAATTCTACGCTGGAGGTGTGAATATAACGAATCCTCTGAGCCGGCCACCCCCAAACCCTCTTGTTCCCCCCCTAAACGTGGAAGGGGGGAGGAGGGGAGGCTGCGTTATGTGAGTATGTATGTGAGCAGCAGCGCCACTAACCCCGAGCTGATTCGGACCTTGGGCATGAAACATTAAACTCTTTTCCACCCCGAGTTTACCCCTTCCGGAGATCTAGACCGACTGAGTCGCGAGTGTGTGGCTGAAATGGACTATTGGGAGACCCATGGCTATGGCCGGTTGTCTGATTCTACCCGCAAAATCAGTTGTCAATTGGCGACGGTCCACGTACTCCCAGTTTCTTCCCACGGACTTGGCGCACTAAGCGAAATTGGCCGTCTAAGACTTACTTTTCTGGAAAGAGTTCTATGGTGAGTCTCCAAGCCGGTTACCCGCAACCACGAGCGAACCGTGCCGCCTGGGGAGAAAATTCCTGGCGGATTGGCGAATGAGAGGATCCATGGCATGCCGGTGTCGGTGTCATTTGCCATTTCAGAGTTCTCAGACCCATGGACGCCTCAGGCTAACCGCCGACTCCATCCAGGAGAAGCGATCGGCAGTCCATAGATATAGGCTCTCTTTTCCATCGTCCCAGACAGATTATCTTAGTGATTATCATGGATACGCTTGCTTTGATCAGCGGGTCTTCTCCATTAGCACCGGTGGTGGTAAGCTGAGTTTTGCTCCGTAGCTTGGGCGATCTGGTATGATGGTATGCGTGGTGCAAGGGGGGGGGTGAAGAAGGAAGGATCTGGATAAAAAATGAGTCTCTTATTTTCTTTTTTTCTTTTCCCGATCTCAGATGGACCCCTGGAATGGGATACAGTGGAATCCTGAGAGGTCACGATGCACAATTTCCGGGGTAGCCCAACAAGCTATGGAGTAAGTATGGCGAAAGATAAGAGTCGCTTGAATTGGCGAGGTGAGGGAAGGTGTGCAATTGAAAATGGACTGGCGTGACCACCTGACAAGCCACGTGATGGGTATACAATCCTTTGAAATTGGCTTTCGTCCAGCCATCCATTTTTTATCTTTGCTGCGATCAACTACTGTTCGTCGCACGATCTACCAAACCATGGCAAATAGGTTTTGGTCTGCGACCATGACTTCTCAGCACCGGAGTAGAAAATGCGGAAAATTCCTATTCCCTGTTTCCTACCTGGGTCAGGCGGTTTCGGTTGTGTGTGGACTACGTATACACTGAACGACAGTCCCGCCAATTCCGTTGCGGTGGGTTGATCTCTGCCAATACAGTTTGGGTGAGGGAGACGATGACGGTTGCCACTCAGTTCTTCCGGCTGGATCTGATCCACTTGTTGAAGACTTCCGTGAAACGAATGCATTAGCCTATAAGGTCAAGCTCATCTCGAGCCACAGGGATCCCCTTCTGGGAAGTGATCGTTGGCCTGCGCAGAGAGTGCTTGGCTGTAGCCAAGTATAAACCTAAATACAGATGTGTACGTATGGGGTGCAGTGACCACCTATCTGCCTACTACTTCTCTCATCCTTCAAGTTCGGTATTTCACCCCTACTCCGGGCGCTGAAGCGGCATAGCCTATGATTTCGGGTTCCGCGAATGTCTTCGGTCTATACCTCAGGGTTTCCGACAGAGCTACTAGTACAAGTCCTTCTGTGCCTAGCAAGTCGTCCAGACCAAGCTGTGGAGGAATTGATTGCTGACACACGGTGGTGACGTTGACTCGCGAAGGGTTACCGGGCCCATCATAGGTTAGCGCGTCGATGGTAAGCGCCCATGTAAGTGGGTTGTATAGCACTCCTTTATGCGTGTACAATCCTCCTGCGGGCTTGTGGGCGCAAATAGACTGTAAGTGATTATTGGACACGCCAACTCCACGCGCATCCTCGAGGATCGCGGATGCTTGGTCTCCATCCATCGGCTGCACAACCTCGTCAAATGAAGAGTAGATGGTCGTTGTGTGAACATAAGCCGACTCCCCCCCGAGTGCCCTCAGGGTGCGAACGAACTTAGCGTCCCACCCCTGCTGCCACAGTGCGGGGGTGCACATTATCCCCGCAAGCCAGGGGCACACCAGCCTGGCCTCAACAGTCCCTCGGAAATCAGGGCTTATTGCAATGAAATCCTCCACTGAGGCCCGGGTGGATGGCCAATATTTGAGGGCCCACTGTGTGTTCAACCCGCCCTGGGACCAAGAGATGATGTTAACCTTGGACTGGTAGAGACTGGACATGTAGTTAATGGCATATGCGATGTATTCAGCGGTAACCTGGACATCTCCCAGAGAGGCTTGGGGTATATTAACCCAAGCCATGTCAACTTCCGGGATAGCGTTGCCCAGCTTCCCGAAATTATAATAAAACGATGTTCCAGCAGGTGCGGCCGTTCCTGGAACCAAGATCACTGGTTTCCTTCCACTGTTGTTCTCCTCTTGGGAGAAAGATGGCATATGGATAGCCTCTCTAAGAGCTGCTTCTGGGATGGAATACGGTGCATCCTCGGTTGCTTTAGACGGGTATATACGCCCGCTTTTGAGGTCAGGATTTAGGTTATGAGCCGAGTTAATTTTGGCGCTCAGATAACCATTCAAGACGGTGAGGATCTTGGGAGGAACTAGGCCGGAGGCCACCATGTCTTTTGCAAAATCCAGCATTGTCGAGCTGCTCTTCTTGGTGAATATTACCTCGATCTTTTTCAGTGCCAGTTGCACCTGCTCATCTCCAGATTGTTGCAAAACCTCGTTTGTCGCAAGACCTGATTTGATGCCTGCAGCCACAGACGATACCCTCTTATTCACCAGGGGATCTTTGGCTGCATTCGACAAAATTGAGACAAGATCATGTTCCGAATTTGGCACAGGCGCCTGTTGTTGGGGAATTGAGATGCAGAGGCATACAGGGCTCAAGAGTACCCCGTAAAGGAGATGTCTAGCTAGGGCAGACAGCCGCATGTTATGCAGTTTCAGTGATGCAAGATAGAGACTTGAGAGGTGCACCCGCGATGAATGCGCTTACCGGGCAGAGAGAAACTGCTGACGGATATAGCCAGCAATAGTGTGCCTCGTATTTGACAGCACAGAGTGTTCCGATTCTTCTTGACAGGCCTCGGTCTCATTTGCTGATTTACTCCTTCGTCATTGATTTGCGGTCTTGACCTGGAGAGAGCCAAGATCCAGTCGCGATCCAGGCATCAGAATCGCAAGCCCTTGGTTACTGGATAATGGAGCGATTGGATGCGTCTTGCTGAGAGTAGCTGCATTATCACTCAAGGGTCAGCATTCTGTCTGACCTTCAAATGGTCGGTCTCCCACTCCGCGGGCCACCCGTGAGATATCGGGAAACTAAGACAACTTTTATGCTTTGCCACTAACACCGAGCCTGCACAAGTCATCATGAGTTGATAGAAGAGGTATGGCGTATGAAGCTCATCAGCAGGTATCTGTCATACAATTGGTCCAAAGCACGTCGTCTGCAGCGGTTCACTTGATCTCCCTGTCGCCACTCTATTTCCAGTCGGAGGAAATCAGTGACGGGCAACGGGAACGTGAAAATGATGGTCAAATGACCATGTTTGCGACGTATGAACAGCTCAGTGGCTTCTTGGACCGGTACTTTGGTCGGTTTAAGCAGTAGTGGCTGGCTGATGCTGATGTGCCATTGCTCCAGGGCCTTAAAAAGATCAAGCTTGGAGAAAGCAGGTAGTTGAGAAAGGATGGAAAGAGCGATTGAGATCCCAACCGGCGCCCATGTTCCCCGGATATACTATCGCTAATGGAGACCCAAAGCACTGTAACAGTACCCCAGGCTCGAGTCATCTGCATTGCAGTGCAGTCCGGGGAAGACCACAAGTGCAACCACCACAAAGCCAACAACACCCAGCTGTCATCGCTCCAGTATTATCCAAGAGGTTCTTGATCCAATAGTGATTGATGTATTCTGCATGGCCTCATTATCTTACAAACCCCTCATACCTTACCTCCGTGGCTCCGCTCCGACAACATCATCCCACTTCATTCCGTCTTATCCAAAGTCTTCGGATTATGTGCTACACGATGCCCATGCTGATCGTGAAAGATGACCTTGAGAAGGGGAGAAAAGGACCGTCAGCCGCATGTGCTCGATGCCTCGAGTCTGGTCTGCGGGGACTTGCTTACTTTGGGTGGATTGGCTACCTCTTCTTCATGTGCTTCAGCCTCGTCCGTAACGACCTTGTCAACCTGGGTTGGTTCAGTTAGCCGTGTGCTAAGACTAATTACTGAATTGCGAAGCTAACATAAGCCGTTCAACAACGACAATGGCACCGAGATGGGGAACGGTAGGCTTACTTCTCCCTCGTGGGTTCCTCCACGATACCTTGTATACACGTAGTCTCCTTCGTTGATCTGTTCTCCCGTCTTGTCTTGAACTCTTCTCGTCGGCATGATGCGAGAGTGGTTTCAGTGTTTATAGCAATATGTAGATTACTGAGTTACTCGAGAAAAGCATAAGACTGAGTAGAGTGTACACTGGAGGTGATGTCATGATGAGGCAGGAACGAACGCCTCCCGCTGGAGCCTGAAACTATACTAAAAAAACTACACAAGTATCGAATGTCAATCTACACACATAGCCGCTGTTAATCTCTCATCTGCATGTCGATATTATTCTCGATCCCCGAGCACAGATTTAATCTGGGGAATTGGCTTCGGTACGGTCCTATACCACGAGTATTGAGACCACCCTTGTCAAGTATAACCTATATACTCACCATGGAGAATTTCTTCGTGCCATTATCCCTCTACTTATAATATGAATATGATGGGCGCATGGATACTAGTAGTCAAGGCTCGACTGGATACTATTCACAACTAATGTAGAGTGCAAGCACACCGCACAGCAATCCCATAGGAATATATACCTAGTACTGATGGGGCCCCCTATGACAGAAATATGATGAGATTACTGTTTACTGGACTACTGCCTTTGAAAATGAAGCAGCCATCACAAACACATGGATCTGAGAGAAAATGGGGATAGGAACCACGTCACTACCAGCAGTTCTCCTAAAACCCCCCATGTTCCCCCCTCTCCCAACAGAAAATTAGAAAGTAAGCGCGGATACCGAGCCATTGTCACACAGTGGCAGTGATGCAAGATGGGGAGTGGATGACGGTGGTAGTGCAAGGCTAAAAGTCGGGTGGACCAAGTAGTTGAGCACGACAGTCTCATTGAATGTATAATATAAGTCCGACATGGTGTGAGTAGTATTATATTGATGATAGTCATAATGATGATGGTGGTGAGTGGTGTCGCCATCTCTTGCTGGTCTTACAATGTTGCAGCAGTCAGTGGTGTTCCCCTCTCGGATGACCCGGACTACTTGGACTTGGCTCATTCGATACGAGGTCATGGAAAATATGTACCCGACCCGCGTTATCTTTAGTGAGTGAGTAGATCACGTTGCCGGGGCTTGGGTTGCATGACTACTCACTGTAGATGGGCAGATGGTGCTAGGATTGTGGGTCCTGGGGCAGAGGATACTGTCGACACGGTATCAGATGGTTCATCATTGTAGCTCTGTCTTGCTAGCAAGGTATCTTCGCTTGAGAGCAAGTAGTAGTGACGTGGGCTGAGGGAGAGTGTGGTTTCCTCTTAGTAGGTGTTATAGTGACTTTGGCGTCATTTGTATAGGAGATGATGATGATGATGACCATGATGTTACGACCTGCCGGGGCAGGACTTGTGGTCGTCGAGGTTCTCCCGTAAGCAAAGCTCCCATCGTTAGGATCAAGGTCTGGTGTTCTGATGGGCCACGTAGGTACACAGACACACGGGTTAAATTTAAGGCGTTCATGGCACGGCTGAGGTGTCCTGCATGCTCCGTGAAGATATGGGGGTGATGGATGGTTGGGAAGTCATGAAAACCACGTGGGCAGAGAGTGTCTTGGGCCGTATCAGCAGCACCTATCCTCTGGCTGCTATATGGGAGTGAAACTGAAAGGTGCCCGACTCATCGTATACAAGTAGTAGTTGGTATATGCTATGATTAGATGAAATTTACAGATTGGACACTGCTGCCGAGTCATGACTGATTGCATCAGGGCAGCACAGCACCCCGACATCTATCAGAATGGAAAATTAGCGGGGATAGCGCCCCTTGCAGGATCAAAATCTCCTGGGTATCTTGACAGGCATTTGGTCCCTTGCACCAACCTTGGCCTGTCTGAGTGGTAGCGAGGGGACTCTGAAACGCAGAGTAACTACTACTACTCCGGAGTAGATAACAGATCGGGCTAGTAGCAAGTTGTTCTAAATTGTCCTTGCCGATAGAGATCGATCACTCCTGAAATGCGGAGATGGATGATATTGTTGCTGATTGTTATTCTTAGTGTGGTTGTCGACGATTACCTTACTGACTTTGTGCGTCTCAGCACATGTCCCGTTCCTTGGCGGAATCCCAGGAATGCGCAGTCTCTCTCACTGAGGTAGAAATGTAGTACCCCTACTTAGAGGTATTTAAAGTTGATATGGTGCTATGATGATTAAAATTAATTCGGCCAGGCACTTCCATGGCAAGTAAAACACCCGGATGAAGTAACCGATCAGATACCAGGTGAGTGTATTTAGTACTAAGCTTGAGTAGTAAGTACTTAGTAGCAAGTAAGTAGTGAGTACTAAAGTAACTTGCCGAGGGAGAGACGATGATTGGTGGGGAGGAGGATGGGTAAAATGTAACACTCCCGGCCATTGGGAGCGGGCCCACTACCACCGTTGCACCCAGTCGCTCCTCGACCAAACGAAGGTGTCACATTCCAATTCCCTCTGGCTGCATCAAAAGTCCATCATGGGGGACTCTGGGAAAGGATAAGGGAATGCCAGGGAGGCTGCAGTATATCCGATCATCCTCCTTGAACCCTACTCATCCCGCTCATCCCGTTTGTCTGTGAGGAGTCACAGTATACCTACATACTCGGTTATGTGACTAGCCGGAAGAGATTGAATTGATTTGAATTAAAATAATTTCTCTGCCCGACCAACTGTTGGAGAACCGGTATAAGGATTACCGAAACAATGTCAAAACCGTATCCACAAACACAGACACAGACACACACAGGGTTGATGTACTGAAGACCAAACCAAGCGGAGGGTCGATGACCTCCCCGATCCATTTTGGATGCAACTCTGTCGCTTCTAAACTTCACCGGGCCCCACTTGGTTCATCTGTTCCCATCACGCCGGGTGGTACTCTCCCCTTCCTTAGATCTATTACTGAGTGAGTATAGGGAGACCCTTTCCTCAGCACGGGAAACCATGTCAATGTCATTGATGGGTGTTTCTTGTGTCTCATTGTTTCAGTCACCTATCTTCACGAGTAAGGATAAGCTGACTGCAGTTGAGATCAAACTTCCAATGAGTTATGCTTATTCTTTATACCCCTGAAGACTGACTACTGAACTACGGAGTATTAAGTTGATGATTAGATCATGCATTCGCCCGATCTCTGCGGATGATTAGATGACGATGATGATGATAACGCAGTTCGATGGCTATTTTGGAACTCCTTCGTTTCCATGCGGTGTTCAAATGATCCTTGAATCTGTCTTCCTCTTAGAAACAGTACCTTCCGAGCATCCGAAGCTAGCCCTGGTCGTTCTAGACCAGGCATGGATCCAGGTCTCACATAAAACCCAATCTTAGTAGTACTGATTACGGAGAGGTCTTTTAGCCGGGAAGATGGATCAGATAACTATACCATCTCTTAAGTATTACACGATACACCACCACTGCTACTATGTAGGCAGTAGTAGTATCTGTATCATGCACCATCGCATCATCCTTAGGGGTTCATGACGGCAGAGGTTCTCTTTCGGTCGCCATCAATAACTTCCGGGGAAAGTCCGAGTAATTACCAGCCGACAAGGTAGCAATCGATCCTCTCTGAATCAGTACATCAAATTGATTAGGTAACTAAATAGTGTCTCGTTCACAATGGATTGATTTCTTCAAGTGAATCTCGAGTCATTGATTGAATGACGGCATCTGTGTAAGTAATGGAGTCACAGGTAAATACAATACGGAACGAACCAGCTGCCAGGAACCATACCAGACAGACAGAGCAGGGAGGAAGTAGTACCACCCAAAGTAAGTCGCAGTCGCAGTAAGTTAGTAGTAGTCAGTGAGTTACCACCCTGCGACCTGACCGGCAAACCACTGGAAAGTATGATACCCATGGCCTGCAAATTTATGGATTTCTATTCTTTTTTTTTATTAATTTCAATTTTAATTTTCTGATTTTTATTTTTATTTTCGCCTTCCTACAGTGATGGATGGGATTTCTCTTTATCTTCCCCCCCCTTTGAATTGCAGATTCCTCAAGCAAGCCATTCCAGCCTGCGGGAAAGCCAATCCGGACGTTGGTTCCTGACGAGGAATGAAACACGCGTAGTAGGTTGGTTCCCTTTCCTTCATCGTCCCTCTCGTTTCCCGTTTCCTTTTCCCACCAAACCCGGTAGTACCGCTACTACCACTTACCACTAATACTACTACTGCTAGTTACCACTATTACTATTAACTACTACCACCGCTACTCTCCTGCTAAGAATACTTTGCGACTCCCAAAACTACAATACAATCGATACCACTCACGACTACTACCTCTACTTTCCCTTCACTCTTTCTATTCCCTTTTCTCTCCCCCCTCTCCTCTCTTTCCTTCTCTCTCTTTCTCCCCCCCCTCCCTTCAATCAAATTCATCTACTCCATACATCCCCTGGAATTATAACGCTACCTTCTCTCGGGCTACACCTCCATCTTTCCTTCCGTGCAACTCGATTCAGTTATCTTCCCGCCAGGCACTGGAACGCCCGCTCGTCATCCAACTCCATCCATCCGCTCTCTCCCTGCCAGGTTCATCTACCACCTACTACTACTTACCTCTACTACTACTCCCTTTGCACAGACTATCCCCGTCTCAACATTGGTTCCCTTTCCGCTGCACCCTGTGCAAGGATTCGTTGTTCGGGTGATCAGTGGTACTTCTTAAAATCTTGTCCACTTCTCTTGAATTACTTCATTGCCTTGGGATAGAGACTGGTTCTATTCTGCATTTGCATTGCGCATCCTTCCCGCTTCGGTGATTGTCATCATTCGGGCCCACAAGCCTTGACTTGACTTCTTTATTATCATCTTGAAGTGGCATTTGCTCGTATCGATGCTTCTTTGACCCTCTCCAAGTTTCACTTGCCCGTATGAGCCCTTATCTGTGTTAAACCACCACTACCCGCTCATACAACTACACCCCCTCATCCCTCCTCACCATCAGCTTGGGATTGGGAAACCCTCTCTGATCGCCTTCCTTCTTATCAAAACCAACTTCTCCCTCTCTTAATCATGTCGGCCCCATTGGTCAAAGTCTTGCATCGAATGCAAGAACTCTTTACGAACATAGTTGCCGCCTTGGAGGCTATGCTATTGTTCCCTTCCCTCTTCCGCGACCCCTCCCGTAAGCGGCGGAAGCCTTTCCATGGAGCGTATTGGGGACGTCGCTCTCTTGATACGTTTGCTGATGAGGTGGATCGTCTGTTCACGGCACCTTTGTCTGTGCAGAACATGGTCGCCATGTCAGACAAGATCCGTGCGCAGTTCAAGTCTTGTCTACAATCTAGCCCCGTCTGCATGCTACCTTCTTACAACCATGCCCTGCCCACCGGAACAGAGACGGGAACGTTCCTCGCACTGGATGTCGGTGGCTCAACGCTGCGGGTAGCATTGGTTGAACTACGTGGGCAGGGAGACATGCGCATCCTTCACGTCTCGTCGTCGTACATTGACGAAGATGTCAAGTTGCTGGAGGGCACTCTCTTCTTTGATTGGATGGCGGAGAAGATCGACTCGATGCTACGCGAAGTGGGCACCAACTATGGACGAGAGGCCGTGCCACTGTCGATGGGATTATCGTGGTCGTTCCCCATTGAACAAACGTCCAACAGTAGTGGTCTCGTTATCCATATGGGCAAAGGATTTCACTGTTCAAATGGCACCGTTGGGCAAGAGCTGGGTGATCTTATCGTTCAGTCTTGTCGGAAGCGAGACCTCAATGTCCAGGTGGATGGGATCGTGAACGACAGCTCCGCGACACTCCTCTCACGCGCCTACATCGAACCCAAGACACGCATGTCGCTTATTCTAGGAACTGGAACTAATGTGGCGATCCACTTTCCAGTTCATGAGATTGGACTGACCAAGTTCGGTACGAGACCGCCAGGTTGGTTTGACTACGCCAAGCACGTTATTGTCAACAGCGAAATGAGCATGTTCGGCGGCAGCATCCTCCCCAAGACTCGCTGGGATGAGGTTTTGAACCGGACACACCTCCGGCCGGACTACCAACCTCTGGAGTATATGATCACTGGGCGTTATCTGGGAGAGATCATCCGTCTCATCATTGTTGAAGCGGTGGAATCTGCCAAGCTCTTCGGCGGGGAGTTGCCTCATTCGATGCGCGATGCGTACTCATTCGACACCAGTATCGTTGCAGCGCTGGAAGCTGATACAACCCCGCTTCTCTCATCGTCTGCGGCGCTTCTACAGAAGGAACATACATTTACCGTGTCACCGTCTGTCGAGGATTTGCGCTTCCTCCGACGAGTCTGCCAGGTCGTCTCTAAGCGAGCAGCAGGATATCTGGCAACGGCAATCCACAGCATGTGGTGCCTGCGGAATGAGGCAGAATTTCCCGCGACGGCCCCTCCTTCGATCAAGGAAACTCAAGAGGTGACCGTGATAGAAAGCGAAGAGAATCACCGGAGTCTGTCAATCGCATGCGACGGCAGTGTCATCAACAAATACCCTGGGTTCCGGGACCGTTGCCAGGGTTATTTAAATGACCTTGTAAAGGAGACGAACGCATCGCGGCCATTGTCGGACACCACCACGGAACCTCAGGTGTGCCTGGACCCGGCACCTGAAAGCGCTATATTGGGAGCGGCCGTAGCAGTGGCTGTCGCCGTTGCGGAGAAGAAGCTCGAGTAGACTACGTTATCCAGCATTCCCTTGTCTCTCATCTGAACTTCATACCTATCTCTATATTTGATCCATCAGCCCATCGGCTACATTCGCATTCCGAGGTGTTGTGCGGCAGCTTTGCATTTACTTGGCCACCATTTCGCTCTTGGGGCTCTGGGTGTCGGACATTGTCATTTCCATTTTGTTGTTCTATTGGGGCTCCTCCTAGGCCACCCGATTCATGCATTTGTGCTTCCATAGGAGCATTCATTGCTTTTGCATAGACAGAACAGGTTCATCAATAACGGGGGTGGAGCATTTCTTGACCTTTTGGCGGACTAGACGGTTAGGCATATGGCCTGAGATAGAAGCGGGGATTGTGCGTGTGTACATAATGTTAATCGTCAATACAAGAGTATCGAGCCACTGGGTGCACTGAGGCCCCAGTGAGGCCGAAGCCGAGGTTTGGGATTTTGGGTGAATCCCCACATCACAGCGTGCATCCTGCCAAGGCCTTGCCAACGAAGAGGCACAAGACCAAGGAGAATCAATTTAAGCAATGAAAAAGGGACAGACACACTATCTGGCCCCATGATGGTAAAATCTACATCAACTTGTTACCTTTTCAAGCATCAGTCATATCATCATATTAAGACAAATCACTCCCGACAAAGATCCTGCAACAACTCCAACATTCTCAGTTGAAGCGCCGACAATTCCTCTCGGGAAAGCTGCTGCTGCTGCTGCTGCTGCTGCTTGACAGTCGGGGCAGTGGTTGTTGTTGTTCTTCCCATATTCGAGGGATCAGAGTCCAAAACAAGACCCTTCTTAATAGTGAAAAAGGGAATCCTGAGTGCCTTGAGCTCTGCTATCATAGCATCGGACATTTGTCTGGAGGCTTTGTATACTTTTGCGTCGTAGTTGGTTAGTTCGGCGCGGTCTTCTTCGGCTGTCTGTTTCATTCATCATTGAGTATTAGCTGTGTATGTAGTTTTCTGTTGTGTTTTGTTTGTCTGTGTGTGAGAATGTGGATGATCTTGTGCTTCTTCTCTTTCTTTGCATCCATATCCATATAGTATAGTATGGTATGTATGCATGGCATGGGAAATACATACAGAAACTTGCTTATTCTCATCAACGGGAGCGCCGACGGATCGTCTAATTATCAAAATTCCATGAATGATTAACTCATCTCTTTGCCTGACTTCTTTCTCATTGTTGTTGTTCTTTGTAGATTCATGACTGGGGAGTAAATGGAATAGCGTAGACTCACAGCACAGCATCCAACTCCTTCTTCTTCTCCGTCCGGGCGGACTGTTTCTTCAAGAGCGCTTCGCGTCCCTGCCACCATTGTTTTTCGTGGTCGTGTTGGCGTTGGATTAGCCAGCGGAGGCGACGTTGGATCTCTTCGTTTTGGGCTACTGTGCGCATTACGTAGCGGAGGGCCGTTGGCCAGGTGGTTATGATGGAGGTGTCTTCGGCGATGGATCCTGCTGGTGCCGGTCGTGGTTGTGGGTGTGGTTGTGTTTGGTGATGTTGGGGTCGTGAGGATGTGGGTTTCGGGGGGATAGGGAGCTGGGAAAGGGATTCGCTGGGTTCGTAGGAATCATTATCTTCTGTTGGTGCTGCTGGTGTTGTTGAGTCTGGGTTGTGAGAGTAGGGAGGATGTGGTTGTGGTTGTAATTGTAGTTGTGATTGAGCTTGTGGTTGTTGCTGGTTGGATAAGGCGGAGAGAGTTCTGAGGACGGAGCTCAAGTCTGCTGCGTTGTAGTCCATAGTGCGATAATCATAGGAGATGTGATGAAAAATATGATTTCTGTAGCTCGACCATGAAGCTAACTAGAGTGGTGTCAAGGCAAATAGCTGTCTAGATGATAAGCTATGGAGTAAATCGAAAGCGGAGTTGTAGTAAGTTAGTGTCCGGCTCGGCCTCGAATCGACGAGGTTGGATTTCTTTCCGCTGAAAATTTCCCCGGCCGGCAATCATTCCCAATTCCTCCTCCTCCTCCTCCAAACTCCGCCTGACCCCCGTTGGCTTCAGCTGCTCTCCCCTCGCCAGCTCGACATTTCCATATCGTGCCTATTGGATTTGACCCTCCGTCGTCCTATCCAATTAACCCCGACTTATTCCCTTGGCGCGCGCAACCCTTCGTCTCTCCCACCCCCCGCCCACCGCCGAATGTACCGTTCCGACTGATTCCATCCCGGTCACATCATACCATATCACCACCACCACTTCTACTACTACTACCATCCTCGAGCATCCTCACCGACAATCCATCCTCGCCGACTCAATCCAAAAAATGTCCCGCTCCGCTGCAGACGCGACCCGGTTCACAGCCACCGGGCCCTACGCGCACTCCAAGCCCGGTTCGGCCAGCGCGGCGGCCCCCTACAAGCTCCCTAGCTCGATGGCAAAGCCCACCTCCCAGCAACAGCAACAGCCGCAGTTAAACGCCAATGGCAGACCGGAGTCTCCCAAGGAAAAGGTCGAGCGGTTGAGGGCCCAAGCCCGCGCGGCCCGGTTAGCTCAGTCGACGTCGCGGGTGGATCAGATGATTGAAGTAGGACGTCGATTTGCGAACAAGGCGCATAAGACGATGGTGTACACGCTGATTGCTGCATCTGGTATGTTATATCATCTACGGTGTTACAAATGGACTACACACATGTGTTGGTCGCCGCGAGGGTTATAGAATCATTGACTGACGCGTTTCGGGAATGGAAAAAAAACAGGTGTCTGCGGAGCTCTAACAGTCTACTCCGTCATCTCTCTAACGCTATACAACCGTCGGCAGCGGGCTCTGTGGGTGGAGAAGGAAATGCAGAGACTGCAGGATGCGAAGACGGCGTATGCTGCCGGTACGGCCAACACAGAGCAATTGGAGCTGCTGAAGAATGAGAAGATCGGGGAGATCTTCCAGCAGAAGAAGGAGGAGGCTAAGGCGCAGCGGCCCTGGAATCAGGTCAAGAACTTCATCTTTGGTGGTTTGAAGCAGGATGAGAAGGCCGCTGCTGATAGCAGCAGCTCTATCCCCGATAGTGTCCTGGAGGGCGGCAACAAGTCCGCAGTGCTGGAGGCGCTGAATGCTAAGGCTGCGGAGGATGCGGCCAAGTCTGCTGCTCCTGCTGTTCCCAAGGGCCAGCTGGATGCGTTGGCTGAGAACGCCGAAGATGCTGCGAAGCAGTCGACGCGAAGCTGGAAGAGTTGGTTCACTGGACGGTAAGGAGTCCGGAAAACAAGAAACCTTTGGTATATGGAAATGGATGTATGACATATAGAGCGGAGGGAGGTGGGTGTGGGTGTGTGTACGTGAGTGAGGATGGAAAACAAGGAATGTCTCAGAGATGACGCCTATCACATTTACTTATGCTGCTTTTCTGGTTTGCATGGCATCTTCTCCCTGTTTTTCCATAATCTGGGGTTGCGGCGTCTATGCGGGTTATATTTTATTTTTGTCTCGTCTTTTTTTTCTTTCTTTCTAGCTGTATTCTTATCTTGCTGTTGTTTGCTTTCCTCAACCTGTGTATTACTGGGTTAGAGTTCTTGTCTTTACTCTTGTGTACATATACATATCTACTATTCTCTATCTCTGGTATCTCTCTCGTCTCTTGGTTAGAATAGTGCTGTCAATGGCTCAAGATTAACTTAATCAAGAGGGTTCGGTCAATCGAGCAAAGTTGAATCTACATGGGCAATCAGATCTTGTCATACTCATCGTTCTATTATTGATTCATCACTGTCTACCGTGGACAGAACCTAAGTGAACAGGGACAGGCAAAAAGAAATTACAAAAAGTGTAAAAAGAAGCAGTCAAGACTTTTACTGGAACAAAGACCGAAAATGCTGCCCGCAACAGGCAGAGGCTGTCTGTCCAACACACCCATAACTCAGGAACTCGTGCCCGCAAAGTCAGATAATGAAACCAAAATGAGGTAAAATAAAGCACCCTGGCTATGGTATCTAGATCGGATTATTCGGAACAAAAGGAAAAGGGAATCACACTCGCTGGGGGGTTTCGTAAACGCAGATCATCCATCCTCAATCGCTCAGTGGGTGCCATTAGTGGACTTGGCCTGAGCGGCTTTGGCGGCGCGTCTGGCACGAACACCATCAGCGAGGTCCTCCAGGACCTGGACGGTGGTCTCCCAGTCAATGCAGGCGTCAGTGATGCTGACACCCTTGCGCAGGCCGGAGGGACCCTCGGGGGGAACCTTCTGGTTACCCTCGTTGATGTTGGACTCAATCATAACACCGATGATGGCATCCTGGCCCTCACGGAGCTGGTCAGAGACCTCCTTGGCGACCAGAGGCTGGTTGCGGTGGTTCTTGTTGGAGTTGCCGTGGGAGCAGTCGATCATGACGACCTCGGACTGCTTCTTGCCCGCCAGAGCCTCGCGGGCGGCCTTGATGCTCTCACGGTCGTAGTTGGTACCCTTGTTGCCTCCACGGAGGATGACGAAGCCGTGCTCGTTACCAGCGGTCTTGGTGATAGCAGCCAGACCCTGCTTGGTGACACCCAGGAAGCGGTGGGGGTGAGCAGCGGCACCAATGGCATCAATGGCAACGGTGAGGTTGCCGTCGGTACCGTTCTTGAAGCCAATGGGGAAACTAAGACCGGAGGCGAGCTCACGGTGCAATTGCGACTCGGTGGTGCGGGCGCCAATGGCACCGAGAGAGATCAGATCGGCCAGGTACTGAGGGGAGATGGTATCCAGCATCTCACTGGCAATGGGCATGCCCATGCTGGTAAGATCAGAGTAGAGCTGACGAGAGACACGGAGACCCTTGTTGATGTTGTAGGACTCATCAATGTCGGGGTCGTTGATCAGACCCTTCCACCCCACCGTGGTGCGGGGCTTCTCAAGGTAGGCACGCATGATGACACAAAGGTCGGAGGAAAGCTTCTCGGAAAGCTCCTTCAGACGGCCGGCATATTCGAGGGCCGTGGCAGGGTCGTGGATCGAGCAGGGGCCGACAACAACCAGCAGACGGTCATCCTTCTTCTCGATAATCTTCATGGCCTGGTTACGGCCAGAGCGGACGGCCTCGAGGGATTCCTTTTTCTAATCATGTCTTCTGTTAGCCCCAATGGTCTGAACCGAGGCATTGACGACGAAAATAACTCAGAATGTGGTCGGGTTAAGAACCCAACCAACATGACAGGAAAGACTTGGGAAAATTGGTAGGGAAAAAGCAAGGGGGGACGATGTGACTCACACCAGGGATCTCATTCTGGAGGTACTGAGGGGGAAGGAGGGGATCATATCCCAGGACTAAATGGATTGACAAATCAGTACAGGCTCATTGGCACTCAAAATGAGGTTTGTTTACTAACCGCGAGTGTCCTCATTGACTTCTGTGGTGCTGATCAAAGGCATGGTGGGGGGGAATTGGCTGTGTGGAAGGGATTATTCTGTATGAGGGGAAAGGAAGAAAGAGGAAGAGTGATGGAAAAGGACAACAATACAGCCTTTATAAGGGGTCTAGAAGGGCCAGGAAGTGTGCAATGGAGATGAGTCAATGGGGAGAAGACAACCGAAGCGAAATCGGGGGTCAAAGAGAAAGCGAGCAAGGCACAAGCGAGAAAAGAAAAAAAAAGAGCAGGGAAATGGAGCAAATGAGAGAAGATGGAAATGGCATGAAGAGACAGAAAGTGTGGGCCGCGGGAGCGCGGACCAGCCGATGATTCACACACTTGCAAAACTTAAGGTTGGTTGGCTGCAACCTACCGGTGGCGGTATCAGTACCGTATTGTCTGTCCCATGTATGTCACCATCCATCGTCCATCTCTCTCTCCCTTTCTATCAACTCTTCTAACTTCCCTCCCTCCATCACCACTTGAGGTAGATGCTGCTTCAATTGACCCGCTTCTAGAGTTCAATAGTCCTCCCTCCCCCCCCACCACCCATTCTTGATACATCCACGGGTCTCCTTCCCCTCCCATCATGGCCCAGAACCACTGCCCTCGAGTCTGATGTGATCAATGCATCAAGGCTCCGGGGTGTGTGATACTGCATGATTCGATCACACTCAGCTTATCCCCCCTTCTCACATAATTCTCCACCTCAGGATGGTCATTCATGGTACGAATAAGGTTCCCGCTTTAGGTTGTGTCAATTCAAACCCCCAGCGCCTTATCGAAAACGATAGCCTACCGTTCCAGATCGGTCACTCCATGACTTAATGCTATCTAGAGCACATCATGATTCGGATTACTCCGATTTCCGGTTTTCAACGTGGATTCTTAAACCGCTGGATACCATTGTTCCAAGGCCCTGTCCCAGATAGCTTACGTCAATCAGCTTGTGATTCAAGGGCTTAGACAACCAATGCTTGAGATGTTGCAGCCGAAAGAGAGAGCGATTGAAGTGAGCCATTGTAGCGTAGGTTCGTGTCGGGATTCTAGACTTTCGCCTGCATTTGATCACATAATCTGGATAGTTTAGTCTTCCTGATGCATGAGATCATCCGATAAACGATTGCGGTCCACAAGTACGAGGCCTGTGTGATAAGCTTCGTATCTCTCGAATCGTCTTGTTGAGTACTCCGTCCGGAGAATTGAACCACCTTAGGGGGGGTATGGGATGGACGGCTATGCATGCAGGGTCATATGTACTCCATAGTAACACTGCCTATCGAGTGAGCCCGCTTCGTACGGGGTAAGGACCTCCACATCAGCGGGCCTTTGTCGAAACTGCTGGGCAGTTCGATCACTGTCAGCCAAGCAACGAGTAAGCAATGCGCATAGCCATGCATGCGGCTTATTCTGTCTTCGGCTGAGCCTCGCATGTTATTTGCTTTAATTGGATACGCCCAGTCACACAGTACTAGGATGGGACATGCTGTATGTCGCTCAATTAACTTTCAACAAGCACCATTCCTGCGAGACTGCCCGGCTCCTAGCTGAGTATAGTGTTAGGCTTGACGACCCCATGGGGCAAACTTGGTGCGAGTATCCCCACGAAGGGGAAGTTGGGAGGCCAGTAACTCGCCCACCTTGTATGGTAACAAGCCCCTGTATGTACCCCATGTTGAGCTAGACGTAAAACAGAGTGGCCCTGGGCGGCAGTTCCCGTGTGGACCTGGGGAATTGACCGTTAGACCGTAGATCTACTCGATCTAATCAATTTGCATTCTGAATCCCTCCACTGGAGAACCATTACCACGGCTTGAGGGGAAGGGCTCCGATCTCAGTGGACTCTGACTGGACCTATGGTCGAGCTTGCAAAGGAAAACGGCGAGTCAGACAGATCCTGTGGGTCTTCAGGGATGCTTCAGCTAGATTTTAAGAACTCAGAATGACCAAGAAGTGTTGGTAGCCAGTCGAAAATTCGTGTTGGGGGGGTGTTGAGGCATCCTGAGCCGGAATAGCGTTTTAGACCGGCTCGCGTGTAATCGCTTTGCCGCCCACTCACCGAGTCGAGGGAAGAACGCTTCCCCATCACGGCCGACCCCCAGCCCCTTCATCCCCACAGAATTGCCCTTACTGGGTTTCCCTGCATGCAGCCTGGTGTCGGTGCCTTAAAAACCAGAATACACACTAGGATAATTAAGGTGCTTTCCGTGGCCCACTGTGTCCAAAACTGCTGCTACGGAAAATCAGCTAAGATGCTCGTATTGAAACCTGTATCTGGTATGGTCCCAGCACTTACCACTCTCAAGCATTGTGCTGTTCATCTCAAACTCATAAATCTCGCTCCACACCTTGACTGACCGCAACTCCACATACGAGATTAAAAAGAGAAATAAAGGAAATCACAAGTGTGTCAAGGAAATCGGTCCGATACATGGCGCACAAAGACCCAAGGCATGCATTTTCTATTTTATCATTCACATCTTTCAAGGCAAAACCTCCTCTCCCTTCCAATCCCAACAGCGGCCCCGCCCATCGGAGTCACCGGTCTGCATACCACATAGATGCTGTAATAGCTTCACCGCAGATTCTTCTGGCTGCAACATATGCCTGCCGTCCCAGTAATCTTTCGTGAAATCAGTCTGGACTGTCCCGGGATGCAACGCCACCGCAAAAGCTCGATCTCTGCTCTGTGACCGCAAATACAGATCGAAAGTCTTGGTCAGCTGAAAGACGGAGGCTTTGCTAGCACGGTATGAATACCAGCCCCCTGTTGCATTATCCGATATGGACCCAACTCGTGCGGCCATCATCGCGTAGATCGCATGCGATGGAAGTTTCCACGGCCGCTGTACATGTGCCAACAAAGATTCGTCCGCAAAGGTTGCAGACGACTTCGTTGGCAAGAAGGGTGCCAAGTGCTTCATCAGAAGCATAGGACCAAGAGCATTGACTTGGAAGCTGTGCAGAGCATTGGCAGCATCAATCTGCGTCGGCGACTTCTCCACATGCAGAACGCCAGGTACGGTGATTGCAATACGCAGGGGAGTCTGTGGAAATTCTTCTCGTATCTGTGCAGCCATGGCGTGTATGGTTGCCTCATCTAAGACATTGTTCAGGACCAGAACGCATGAGGGGATGATGTACTCAGTACCAGTCACGTCAACTTCAAAGACTCTTAGCCTCTCTTCCGCCTTTCCAGTCTCATCATTGACTTGCTCCAGTAAGATTTTACGGAGTTGTCCGGTGTCTCTCCGCGCAGTCGCAATAACGGGGAGGTCCGTGTTGGACAGCAGCTGTCGCGCAAAGGCGAATCCTAGTCCTTTCGAAGCCGGAGTGACGAGGGCGAACCCACTTTTTGCAGGTGACATTTGAATGGCACGAATTTGATTGCATATATTAGGAACTGAGCTACCAAGACGAGAGAGACTGAGTCCACATGGAGGATTATTCTGAAGGTCGAAGGTTGAAGCCTAGATTTCCGTGACGTCATGCACATGGCTGGGACTTTGTACTTTGTACAAAGTATGAATTTTCAATCTGATGGCTGTCCGATGGCTGGAAAAACAGGTGCCTTCGGTGTATATACATCTGTTCGCAAAGTAAAACACCATTGTTTGTCCGAGCGTAAGCTGGCGAGTGTTGTTGGTCGCAGACAGCATCAGATGCATGGGTAGGTTCTAGACGGACTACTACTAAGCCTACGGAGTTTAAAATCGTCTTGCTTTATTAGCCAATAATTGCACAAGAAGGCTTCTGAAAAAGCTATTGGACTGGTGTATTTACTATTTGCAATAGGATAATACATATGTGAAAATGTCAACAAATACATACTTGGTACTCTACGAGTAATTGTCTTCCCCATCACCGACGAGAGAAAGTTGTAACTAGAAAGAATTTACTCTCAAGGTACCTGATACATCCGCAGCGGTATTGATCAGTAGTAATCGGACTGAATCCGTAACATGTGACGGTACCAACCGTACGGCGCTAAACCCCGGCTGGACATTGAGCGATAAGTCCCGGTCTTTGCTGCGATGATCCATCCACGTTCCAGCTCCGGTTTCTTTGATTCTTCAACTACTTACTAGTGTGACTCCATGCATGCTTTGGACCAGTTATTCAGCGTGCTGCATAGCCATGGCCTGTCATCTTATTAATTACTAGCCTCCTTTTCTATATTACTTGCTTCCTCATTGGAGCCCCTATTCTCATACGCGTGTTGCTTTCCACATTCCTACGGAGTAGATTCATCAGACTCAATGTGACCTTGACCCTGGCTCGAATCACACTCACCGCAATACTCTGTTTAACCAACTCCAGATTTTGGTCTCCACTGCCCTCTTTGTACGGCCTGGCGCCTAAAGCGCCATGTACGCATTTTCCACCAAGCGCCAGAGAGACCAGGAACAAGAGGACTTCGATGGAAATGTGTTCCGCGAGACAAAGGTCCGTGAATTTGAGACTGAAGGACCCCTGCTATTCTCGTCCCGCAACTAATGGTAGTCAACAGAAACACAGGTCTCTTCCTCTCCGCGCGTCCCCAAGTGCCCTCCAGTTTTCTTCCCTCCCACAAAGCAACCGGCTTGCATCTGGCTTCGGTTTCTCGACTCTGACCCCAGTGGAATCCTCAGACGATGACAAGGAGGATAATGGTGCTGACAAATTTGCCCATCATGGTTCGACACAACCTCGGGATCAGCCATTACCATCAGAACAAGGGTGTATTCCTATAATGAGTGCAAGCATGGATATTGATAACGGAAAAGACGCCCAATGTTCGACCAATAATGTTGAACATTCCAACCCGGGATCTGTCGCTGGATATAGCAATTACAGTCTCCAGCCGTCGCCGATCCCACATAGTCTTGTTGACCAGTCGTTGGTTATAAGCGAAGAGCCGACTACACACTCTACGGAAGGGAACACACCTGCCCCAAGAAGTCCCGTCGTAAGAGACATGGTGCAAAACTCTACATCATATACGTCGCAGGGCGTCTCTAGAGGTCCGTACGCGAGTCATGACAGGGTCTGGTGGTGCGGCCAACGCCTCCCCAGTCCGGTCAGTGACAATGGCGACGCCATGGCGATCAGCAGCAAAGACTCTGTGAGCGACGCTGATATGACATACATGTCCCAGCCAGCGTCTCCGCCACCATGGTATTCAGAAACTACGCCAGATGTGTTACAGCCGGCGGGTTCGATGGGCAGCTTGAAACGGGAGCAACATATTCCCTCTTCCTCGAAGAAGAAGGCAGCGATTTCCATGGGCTACCGAGCGGATTGCGACAAATGTCGGCGCAGGGTCCCAGGTCATTACAGTCACATCATCCGTCACTGACACACTTATCCCTTTCTGTTCCTTTGCTGTTTTCTTTATTTGTTCTGCTTGATTCTTATCACTTGACGAGTTCATGATACCAGGCGCTATGGAAGGAATGCACAGGGAAAGGCGGCTGTGCTGTTTTTACTATGATACCAACGGTTTTCGGGATTGTGGGGCTTTATTAACATGACTTGCATTGTAGATGCGACCAGTTGGGACGGAGGACTGGTTCGAATGTATCGGAAGAATCAAAGCTTATCCTTCGATAATGCATATTATTGTCTTTTCTCAGCCTTGGGGAGCATTTGACGGCGAATATCTCCCTCAATAATAGAGTTCGGGCTATGAATCAGGGCCTGCTGTCAACTAGTGACTAGTTCATTAGTTGATGGTGTTTTCCGAGCTGCCCTTCCGATCTGGCTGACATAAGCGTCCGCATCCGATGGCGGAAGAGCAGGTGACTGGCACCGGATGTCTTTGTCGGACATCAATCCGACAGAGATAGAGAGAGAGAGAGCTACACTTATATTGGACACTGGAGATTATTTGATGGTCGACAGGATGTAGTGATCTTCGAAGGTTGACATTGTAAGATTGTTCTCCGGACACACATCCCCAATCAGAATCTCAAGCAGAAGACGGGGAAACCCCCAGACCGGGACTGCCGACGACTCCACAATTTCCCAATTTTGCCTTCGTCCAGAGTCCTCCGCGGCAGTGCGCTTAGCCGATCTTCATTGCCGGTAGTTCGAAGCCAGCGTGCAACTGGCTCAGTCCGTACGCGAGCCATCCCGAGCCCCGGAATCCCTTCGGGTGGCTATATTTTGATATAAGTATGTTGCCGGGCCCCGGTTTTCAACCGGGGCGAAGCGAAAGTCGAGATCCTCTCCTTCCATTCCTCCCTGTGTCTCTTGCTTGATTCAGCAGTCGAAATATCCGTCATCATGGCCTCTCCAATTCCTCGAGGCCTGCGCCAGGTCCTCCAGAAGTCTCCCTCGGACATTGTCATTCTTTCTTCCCTCCGTACCCCGGTTACTCGTGCGAAGAAGGGCGGTTTCAAGGACGCCTATCCCGAAGAGCTGCTCGCTCACGTCCTCCGGGCCACTTTGGAGGCGAACCCGAACCTCGACCCTGCTCTCATTGACGATGTCGCCATCGGTTCCGTTCTCCAGGAACTCGGTGGTGCGAAGGCTGGCCGTATGGCTCAGATCCACGCCGGCTTCCCCCACAGCGTGCCTTTCCACACGATCAACAGACAGTGCTCCTCCGGTCTGGCTGCTATCTCCACAATTGGAAACGGAATCCGCTCTGGAGCGATTAACATTGGTGTCGGTGGTGGAATGGAGTCCATGACCAGAAACTATGGCTCCCGCGCCATCCCCACCGTTCTCTGGCCCGAGCTGAAGGAGTCTCACTCCCAGGACTCCCGCGACTGCATCATGCCCATGGGTATCACCTCCGAGAACGTCGCTTCGCGCTACGGCATCTCCCGTGCTGACCAGGACGCGTTCGCTGCCGAGTCCCACAAGAAGGCTACTGCCGCCCAGAACGCCGGTCTGTTCGACAAGGAAATCATCCCCGTCAAGACCCTCTCCTATGACCCCGAGAACCCCGATGCTCCTCCCAAGGAGATCACCGTCACCAAGGATGACGGTATCCGCCCCAACATCTCGGTTGAGAAGATGGCTAGCCTGAAGCCCGCTTTCTCTCCCACCGGTGCTAGTACCGCTGGAAACAGCTCCCAGGTCAGCGACGGTGCCGCTGCCGCTCTTCTCATGCGCCGTTCGACCGCCACCGAGCTCGGCCTGACCTCTCAGATCCAGGGCCGCTGGGTTGGTACTGCCGTTGCGGGCTGTGCTCCCGACGAGATGGGTGTCGGTCCCGCGGTTGCTATCCCCAAGCTCCTCCAGCAGCTTGACATGACCGTCTCGGACGTTAACGTCTGGGAAATCAACGAGGCTTTCGCCTCCCAGGCCCTGTACTCTATCCGCAAGCTGGGTATTGACGAGGCCAAGGTCAACCCCAAGGGTGGTGCCATTGCTATTGGTCACCCTCTCGGTGCCACCGGTGCCAGACAGCTTGCCACTCTGCTGCCTGAGATGGAGCGCACCGGCCAGGAAGTCGGCGTTGTGAGCATGTGCATTGGCACTGGTATGGGCATGGCTGGTATGTTCGTCCGGGAGTAAAGGATGAGCATAACAAAAAGCAGAAACAAAATTTGGGGCGTTTCCTTCTTGTACAGGTTATAGCGACTTTATTTATTATGATATCAGCGTAGAGACGCATGTAAATACATACACGCACAAATACTATTTATACCCTGTATGAAGACTTATATCTCCAGAACGATATTCAACAGACTATCTGCATAAACATACCGTTGCTAGCATTAATGACTACTTGAGGGACAAGCATAGATTCAGCGATGCAAATTGACATACTGATACTCCTCCTACAAAGGGATGACAGACATTTCAAGGGATATAGAAGCGGGAACAAAGTAGACCCGAGAAGCCCCTTCCTCAACAGTACTCTGTACAACTTGAAAATATCCAATCCTATAGTCCCGTGTAAAAGTATACTACCAAATAACTCCCGACCGCCAAGCCCCATCCATCCCAAGCACGCTCCCATCACGTGACCTCCCCGGCCGGAACCTCACCACCGCGAAACTTTTCGAACCCCCATCACCTCCGTCCGGGCACCCGCCAGCAAAACCCGCAACCCACCCCAATTGCACAGCACCATGCGACCGTCCGTGCGATTGCTGAGCCTCGACGTCCAGGGCGCCTCGCGGACCCTGTACGTTTGCTCAGTATGCAGAAACGAGGCGCGGCCGCGGCCAATTGTCGCCCGGCAATTCCTTCGCCATGCTTCCAACACACCGCTGAGTGAGCGAGTGAGACGCAGACTCTGGGGTACGGATAACCCGCCGGGATTGAAGGATCCATATGGAGAGAGTTTGCTTGAGAAGAGGTTCGGGAAGGCGAAGGCCCAGCCGGAGGGCGAGACGGAGGTGGTGAATGCGGCGGAAGCGGCACCTGAGGCTGAGGCTATTGATCAGTTGGAGCCTGGGGTTGACTATGAGCCTGCGACGACGTGGGAGGGGTTGGAGCGTGTGGGTCATTTGGGAGGTTGGAAGAATGTTCCTCGGGCTGAGGCTGATCGGGTTGGGACGTAAGTTGTTGTTCTTCTTCCGCATGGTTTTGGATTACGCGGGTTTGGGGGTTGTTTTTGGCTAATTGGTTTATTTGTTTGATGGATAGGTTCGGTCTCAAGAAGAAACTCCGCAAACAGGGTCCCCTGTCTCTTGCTGCGCATCAGGCCGCTGTTGAAATCTGTCTGATGCATGCGCTGAACAAGCCGTTGACGAGCGTCTGCAACGTCACCGAACATGACAAGGCCGTTTTTAAGATGATCTGGAAGACTAAGATCGTGCCTAATGAGGCTGGCAGCTGGGGCAGCGCGCTGGACTACCACAACAAGCAGGCTAAGGAGGCCCTCGTTTACATCTTCGAGCAGATCGGTGGTAGTCAGCCCGAGGCTGTGGAGCAGCAGCAGGCTGCTGAAGAGACCGCCGAGGTCGAGGAGTTCGAGGAGGCCGCTTGGGAGGGTGAGGAAGAGGAGGCCTCTAAGGTTCCTTTCTTCGGATACCAGGATGCTCGTGATAAGGGATTCCTGACTTTGTCTTTGGAGGATCAGGAGACGAAGTTTGCTGTTAGTTTTCCCTCTACTATTTTATTTGCTGTGCAGACAGTCGCTGACATTCCTTTTTTGAATAGTTCCTCAAGAGATTCTCCCAGCTGAGCGGCCACTTCTTCCCCGACAACATCGTCCACCAGATCACCACCGTCAAACAGGCCATCGACTACGTCCAGGGTCAATTGAACCCCAAGCCTAAGAAGCTCGCTGAAATTCTGGAGCACAATGACCGGCTCCAGTCCCTGCCCAACATCAAGGTCTTCTCGAAGAGACAGACCCGTTTGCACCGCGATGACGAGATGGGCCGGAGGAAGATCATTGAAGCCGAGCTTCGTTCCAGAGGACTCCTTGCATAGACTGATTGCATGGCATACATATCTTGCAGGTTTGTTTGGTTGGCTGGCTGGCTCAAAGATTATCTATCTCTAGTTCTTGTAGCATGTTATATCTAGTACGAAATTTTGCTGTACAATAGGAATTGACGTCTTTTTTTGTTCATTGGCTTTAATACAGATCGCAGCGAGATCTATCATAAATGGCTAGCATTTTAGTGTATCTCAAGCGTAATATAATATAGTGAAATAGAAAAGACCGGTTCCGTAGCCGGACCTGAACCCCCATACGCCCGATGAAATAACACCCAGATATTTGTATAGAAAATGCAAGAGCACAACCACCTCCAACAATTACTTCCTAGCTGCCGCAGGAAGACTAAATCCCCTCGTCATAAAGTCCGTATTCTTGGCATGGGCGTCCTTAGACTCCTTCGTGAAAAGACTGCTGATGTTGTCACTAGTCCCCAACATCTTCCGCCGCTTTTTCTTCTCGTTTTCCTCTTCCAGCACCCGCTGTGTCAACAACGCAGTAGCGGCATTTTTGATACCACTCGAGCCGCCTGGCGTGGGTGTAGATGTGTTGCTCCGACTGGCAGTGGCACTTGAAGATTTCTCTGCGGGCTTTGATTCCTTGCCCGCATCCGTCGCATCACCATTCGCGGCGTTCTTCTTGCGCTTCTTTGAGCCGGGGGCTTTCTTCAGCGAGTGCGTGAGACCTTGCTCGGCGAGCTTGTGTCCACGCTCAATGAGCTGCTGCTTATCGGTCTCCTTGGTCGGGAGGATGGGGATCACATTGTCGGCGGTGTATGGCTCGTCGCACTGGAGGTCATTAATACCAACACCAAAAAGCAAAGTATAGGATGAGATAACATACCTGCAGACACTTATCCCCCTTGAGTTGGCGAATCGCCTCCTCCGAGAAAACATGACCGCACGGCACCAAATAAACCGACTTGACATTCGGACCCAACTGCTTCG